AGGCATAAAAGCAATGACACAGGAGAAGTTCCTGTGTGCACTGTGAGGAAGCATCAGAGGCTGTGTGCAGAGTTCCTAGTGAAAAGTCACGCACACAGAACTTTCAAAGTCAGCTGTCACTGCTATCCGCTGCTTTGCCTCATGGCCTCTGTGAAGGTTGCTTATTTTTGCCTAGGGTGGGTTCACATTTGTAATCCTACTGCCTCAGCCTCCCTGAGTGCTGAGATCACAGGTGTCTGCTGCCACATTCAGCATTAGTGGATAGAAATGATTTCCCTAAGCAATCACAAGAATCCAATTTACAGTGGACCCTCAAGTTACAACTGGCTTGACATATGAACAACTTGGGTTAATTAGGTTAATGGAAGATTCATCTGCCTCTTGTTATCTATAGTGTGTACCCAGGTAAATATCCAGATTTCAGCTGTACTGACTTACAACCAACTTGAATTACAACCAGCCCTCCAGAACCAATGGAGTTTTTAAATCAGTGTACCAACAGTGGTAAATACAATTTCTTCCCACTCTAAGCTTGAAAGCTGAATTTACCAGTTCACTGGAGTTTAATGAACTTAGCCTCAAATTTGAGATGCCCCAATTCTCGCAAAGCATGTTTTGTGAAATGAGTTAGCAGTGCTTGTCTTCCTGGCATCACACTTACTAAACAAATTCCCACACACAGTGCTGGGAGGAAAGGCAGACTCTGATGCACATCTTTCCACCAGGATCAGGTCTTCACTTTCTAGCATACTTTTTCTTGAGACAGAGTCTCACTATGTAGTTCAGGCTGGCCTTGAACTCACAGTCATCCCCTTACCTGAGTCTCCTGAGTGCTGGGAATGCAGGCATGCACCATGATGCCCAGTATCTCTAGTATATTTGGGAGGAAGAGAAAGGAGGAGGCAACACACTTGGTATCTAAACATAAAATACCAAAAAAACAACTACCTGAGGGCTGAGTTATACAATATATGAATTACCTGTATTCTAACCTTCAGGCATGTTAAATTCAGCATTTATCTTGGGGTAGCAAGATGCAGACACAAAGCCACACTTTCAGAATATCAGAATTGAGTTTTTTCAGATACTCAAGTTTTGATGGTTGTCAATTCAGCACAGCAGAATGAAAGTCAGACACATCTTGCCTCCCCTGGGAAGGCAGAATGACTCACCTGCAGGACCAGTCCCACATAAAGCCCTCCTCCCACCCAGGGGAGACTGCCCACCTCCTAGAGAGGTTTCTGCACAATGGCTCTGGCATGCTTGCTCACACAAATCAGGCAGGCACGCACGCACGCAGGCGCACACACACACCAAGCACAGGTTTATTTATAATTAAAGCCTGGGGTGAGCATACCCGGATTCCATCTACACCCATCAACTATATTTAAATGATGATGGCCTTAGAAAGTTCTAAGATGGGAGAAAGAACCAGGGATGGAGAATTTTGGCTAGTTTTAAAGTCACAAAGTAGGGCAAGCCTGAAGAGAAAGTAAACTGATCACACCATTACCTTTCAGTCAGTGACCTTCCTTCACCCAGCTGACCTCTGATAAATTTCCTTTGGAAAGGCAGACTGGTTTCAGACAGAACCACGGTCAATGCAACAGACAATTCACGCTGAGAAAGTTCACAGGTACAGTTTCTAACACTTTCTTCAAGCAAATCAGAACCCTGAACTAGTCTTCTCAAATCTGTGGTGTATTTGTGCAATGCCATCTTTTCTGAAAAACTATTTATTTCTAATAACAGGTAATATAATCAATCAATATAACATATTGATTATTATCAATATAATTGAAGCTGGACTTCAATCCACTGTGTAATTCAAGATGGCCTCAAAGTCAGGATCTCAAAAAACAAAAAAAAAATCAAAACAAAATTCTCAGATTTCCCTGCTTCAGCCTCCTAAGCGCTGGGATTACAAGGAGGTACACCACAACAAGCTTCCTGAAATTATTTTTAGAGTCTACAGCACACTCTTCTGCAAACCCATAACAGAGACAAATCAAACAGTCTTGGTTAAATATGGTATTTAGAAAAGGCAGGAAAACACTGTTATTAAATATTTATTTGCAATAAAATACCTGCCAGCTACTCCCAGGTCTTTAAACACCTTTCTTTTACAGAGGCAACTAGGTTGTTGCTTGGCTTCAAGCTTGAGAATTTTATTTTAGGAAACCCAGGCATAAAGTCACTGTAGAGGAAAGATTAGATAAAGAAAAGCTAAGGGCTGGAAAAAGGAAGTGAGATGCAGATGAACTTTTCTTTTGCAAAGAACACTGGGAAAGCAGTTTAGCTGGAGTGTGGCTAAAATGTTTGAGAGGGAAAGACTTACTAAAGCTCAGAGGGATTATCAGGACCATCTTTGTCTCAATTACTTTTTTTTTTGGTACCGGGATCGAACTCTGGTCTTTGTGCTTGCAAGGCAGTCTGCCTGTGGAACCACTGAGCTAAATCCCTGGCCCTCAATTACTTAATATATTCTCACCTAATAGACTCATATTTCTTGTTTTGTTTTTGGTACCAGGAATTGAACTCTGCTGAGCTAAATCCCCAGCCCCTATACTAGTATTTCTAAAACCAGGGTGGCACCAAGATTTAATTCCTTTTCTCTTTCTAAATTTTTTTTTCTTTTTAATTAAGAGATAGAATATAGGCCCCCCAGCACTGTGAGGCAGAGGCAGGAGGATCCTCAAGCCCAGCTTGGGTAACTTAAAAAGACCTTGTCTCTATGAAACAAAATATAGTTCAGGAGAAGGCCCAGGTTTCAATCCCCAGTACATAAACAAACAAACAAACAAACAAAAAGCAAAAAACAAGATAGGGCCTCCTGTGTTTCCCACACTGGTCCCAAACTTTTGGGCTGAAGAGATCCTCTGGCCTAAACCTTTGGAATAGCTGAAAATACAAGTGCAGCTCACAACACTTGGTTCTGAACAACTTACTTACACAACAAAAAGGTGTAAATTTTGCTAATCATTTACAGCATTTAAAGGCTTTCAGTTACTTACTCATTAATCCAGTCTTTTAAATTAAGGTATTAAATTTATCACTTTCATAGTCCAGTTTTTTCTTTTTTCCCCCAATTCTCTTTCATATACATCATCTTGCAATGTTTACTACTGTTAGCTAGCTTCTGTACATTTGTGTGCTGATAAATAGAACAGAGACTTTCTTACACTCTTGTACATGCAAATGATACAATAACTGCTCTGGAACAGCTGATGCAATTTGTTGCTAGGTTCACCATTGTGGTATTAAAACTGCTGTGGCAACAAGACGAATAAGATCTACAAACTCCGGAAACTTGAGTTGCATTAATGAGTGTGGAGCTGTGACTTACAAAGACAGAAGGGAACTTCGGCCTGAAAGAAACAAAGAGCTTCAAAAAAAAAAAAAAAAATCAAATCAGCTCCTGCAGAAAAACGAATATATTAGTTTGTGTATCTTTCAAAGGATTGGAAAATGCTGTCAACAATAGTAAAACGCACTCAATGCCCATTTTACAAAAGCACAGCAATTTAGCCTAATATTTACTATCCGCTGCCCTTCCTCCAACATCCTTGTTTGCTTTTCATGGGAGCCTGAGCTAATGTTCCTGATCTAGAGAACAAGGGAGTGGTACGAAGAAGGCAGGCAATGCAGGAGAATGACAGCGTGTTCATTTTACATAATTTTGGAGATGGAAGGGAAATTAGAGGTCAAAGTGACTGTAACAGCTTTTAGCATAGGAAACTACAAAGCTAACGGGCAATTAAGTGCCAAAGGTAAATGCCAGGTGTGGGTGGGGTCAATGCAAATTTAGTGAATCATTAAACCATTAGCAGCAACCTTTGCTCCCCTCTCAGGGAATACCAGAACAGCTGAAATTTTCTGGTAAAGAAAAGATTTCTAAAAATTGCCCTTTTGAGGTCAGCTGGCAACAGAAAGCAAGCGACTGAAACAAGGGAGACAAAGCGCCTAGTCCAACCCACCTCCCGCAAAACTGTTCCCCTCCCTAGGTCTTTTATTTTCCTTAATTTTAAAAAATAACAATAAGGAAAAAGAGGTTTGTTCTTTTCATTTTAGGTTACTTTTAAGCACCTTTGAAGATGTACAATATTTTGCAATATATTGGATGGGGGAATTAAAAAAGCTTTTATTGGTTCGGGACTTAGCTCAGTGGTGCCACCGCCTGCCTCGAAAGTATAAGGTTCCGAGTTCGATCCTAGGAATCCTTCCCCAAAAGGCCCAAAAAACGCAAACAAACAAACAAAAAAACCCTTTTCCTTGTCCGAAGAAAACAAATGTACATAAACCAAATCTGCAGAGATCCGAAACTCGAAACTACAGGATATCTCGGTGATTACCAAACTGTACCTGACTCGACTCCTTGTATGTAGCTTTTCCCGAGTTCCAATTTGGAGAAAGCGGGGACGAGTACACACCCCCTGGGCTGTTTCATTCCATTGGCCGGCGGGCCGCGGTGTGTACTGTCAGGATGCCCGGTGTTACCCAGAGAGATTTTACCCTGCCTGCACTTAAGAGGGGTCACAAAACACGTCGTCAGAATGTAAAAACTCAATTCACAAGAGTAACGTGAGCTCAGTAAATTCCTTTGTTTAGTAAAACTATCTAGATTTCAAACCTAGAATGCATGTCATTTCCTGTATTTCTGTATCATCTGTTGCAAAACGAAAAACACCACAAAACAACTTCAGAGGGCACTGGGGGAGAATCCTACAGTAGGCGCCCACGAAAGCTCGCCGGGCAGCTTTGGAGGAACCAGTCACTTTTTACAAGTGCATTTCGGCACGGTCCTTCCACCCCCAGGGTGACCCTAATCCCGGGACGCAGAGGCCGGTGCACTGTCAGCTCTGCAGACAGCATCGGTGCAGCTCGGGGTCGGGTGACGAGGCGGGCGGGCCGCCAACGTGGAAGTTTTAGGGCGGAAAACCGCTGTCCGCGAGCTAGCCACACCCGGGACGGGGGATGGGACAAGGCGGGGACGCGCTCACCTCCCTTGCAGGGTGTGCGGTGCTGGCTGTGCTGGGCGCGGTAGCCCTCGATGACTTCCCAGGAGCCGTCGTCGCGCCGGATAGGGAAGGAGACACTCAGCACGTGGTTGCAGGGCTTGATGATGCGCAGGATGCCGCGCACTCGGTTGAGCTTCTGCTCCTCACTCTCGCGGGTGCGCAGGTCCTCTACCAGCTTGTCCTCCACGATGTTGGCGCCGCGGTCGAAGAAGCCCTCCACC